TCAAACAGATGGCTTCAAAGCCCCCTTCTGCCACCTACTGCCTACTTAGTCAGTTTCTGGCCTGTAATATGGAGTTAATCATGAATTTATTGGACAGATTACATGAAATAATACACGTGAATATCGACTACATCAAATATATTAATTTACTCTATAAAATCCATAGTGACTGAGCTATTTAGGCAATGGCAAGTAGCCACTGTTCTCTAAAAACTTAAGTTTGGACCACTTCATCTTCAGTGCAGGGTAGACAGAGATGATCACTCTTTGCTGGATTTCTGTTGCTTTCAGTTACTGAACCAAATCTGTGCCTTATCTGGAATGTTTAATCAATTTGTAAAGTTGCCAATTTTGCCTCCTCTTTCTCCCCAACACCCACATCCCAAACATGTATCCTTATCTACTTACTGACATTGTTCTTTAAGTAGCTTATTATAGAATAAATTCATATTCAAAAATATTTGTGGAATACACCTATGTGCCAGGCACTGGGTTAAGTCCTAGGAATAGTGGTGAACACAAGAGAACTCTTAACTCTCATGGAATGTCAATTCTAAAGAAGGAGCTGTAAGCAAACAAGCAAATAATTAAAACAATTTCAAATAAATACTTGCAATAAAATTAAACATCATCTCTTTCTCTTTTTAATAAATTTTTAAAATATATTCATTATATCACCCTTCACTTTTGTAGAATGTGGGTTTTCCAGTGAAGTTCCCACCACCAACTCACCTGTGCACCATCACACAGGCCCTGCGCTCTTCCCACCCTGTCCTGGACCTTCCCCTCCTCCTCCCTTGTATAGACCAGATATTCTCTGATCTATAGTTGCCTGGTGATTTGATTTTTCCTTTATCATAGTTCCTTTTTTTTTCTGATTCCTATTTGGTTTTCTCTACATTCCTCCTATCAGAGAGACCATCTACTTCACATATTGTCTGCACACTGCCCAAGTGTCTAACTTTCAATTTTACCATTGTTACCTCTCTTACTTGAAACTTTCCCATGACTCCCTTTGGCTTTTATAATAAAATCTGAGCTACTTATTATCCATGACTTGGGGCTTCCTGTCTCTCTAACCTGATTTCCACCTGCTACACCATCGTGTTCTTACCTTCACCAAATATCTCTTGCCATACACAAACACCTTTGACAGACTGCCCGCTTCATCGTCTTACTCAGTTTTCTTAAACATCACTTTCATAAACATGGTCCACACCCCCTCCTCACCACATATGCACACATGCACACACACGTGCACATGTACACCCTACACTTTAGGACGGGAACCCTTCTGCCCTCAAGATGTGCCATGTGCATTTTTCTTATTGCACTTATGCCTTACATTATTTTGCTTCACGTTTCTGTTTCTCAGTCAATCTGCTAGCAGATATCAATTTTTATTCATCATAGAAGCCCAAGCACAATTCCTCCTATACATAGATATTTGATAAGTGATCATTAAATTTTTTAAAAGTAAATTTTATTTTTTTAATTTTTAAAAGATTTATTTATTTATGCATATAGAACTGGGGTATAGGCCAGAGGTTCAGGGGCGGTGAAAGGATTCATCAGAGACAGAGTGGGGAACAGAACAGGCAGATCAACAAAGTACACTGCTGAGGGGAGCAGCGGGCAGGTCAGGAGAGGTCTGCTGCACCATGTGGATCACCTCTGGGAACAAGGATCAAACCTGCACTTCAGTGGTGCGGCTAGCTTGCAGGGAGGGCTTAAAGTAAATTTTAATTAAAAAATGATACACGAGGGCTCTCCCTGGTGGTGCAATGGGTTCCTTGGGTTAAAGCACCACATTATGAAGCTCTCCGAAGCCACGAGTTTGAAGCCATGAGTCAGGGAGCTGACCCACATGGTGCAGCAGACCTCTCCTGACCCGCCCGCTGCTCCCCTCAGCAGTGTACTTCATCCATCTTCCTATTCTGTTCCATGCTCTGTCTCTGGTGAATTCTCTCACGTACCACACCTCTGGCCTGCACCCCAGATCTGTAAGCATAAATAAATATTTTTTTTTTAAAAAAATGCATGGATGAGAAAATAAGGGGACAGGCATTACCTTCCAAAAGCCAAAGAATCTTTGCTCTGTGTATGACTCTATTTATTTATTCTCTCCCTTTTTTTTCAGCTCCTGCCAGTGAACAATCTGGTGAGTTCTTTTCTATATTCTTCAATGTCTCCAGATAAGATTCTCTCCCTAGTAAAACTGAAACTTTGCAATGGTTGCCTGAGGATTCCTAATATCTCCTGGTCTTCTTGATGAGTCCAGTAGGGATGTGACAGTGTCACCTGGTCCACTGACATCACATGAAGCACCAGGACACCTGCGAGGTCACCTGGTAACCTACTCTGAAAGAAGGGTAGGTGCTCACACAGCGCCTGGCCTTGGTCAACGCTGCACTCACTCTTGGTTTAACCAGACAGGACCTCTTCAATTTATGACAGATGTGCAAGTGTGGGATAAGTCAGAGAACTTCCTTGGTAAATGTCCTGGAGGAAACCCTCAAGGGTATTGCATTCTCTACAGACACACGAGTAAAATCCTCCAGGAAGTGTGTGGGCAGAAGAAAATTCAACTGGGCCTTAAAACAGAGGAAATGAACAAAATGGGGACATTGTGGGAGAAGACATAATTGCATCAGCATGTTCTCAGTTGTTGTTCTTAGTGCCACTCTGCTGGGTCAGTGAGTCTTTTATAGCTGAGGACCCATGAATAGCAAGAACTTTCTGGAAACACTCTTTACATCCAAAATCAGCTTTCATCCTTCCCTGAGTCACCTCTGGACTCCAGCAAATGATTTAGGCATTCTTTCTTCTGCTACAATTAGCTATAATGGTATTTTTCTGGGTATTTCAATCGTCTTCTATAAAACAAAGATGTCAAACAAGTTAAACTCTCAAATTTTCTCAGCACCAATATTTTAATATAAGTTAACTTGTAGAGAAAGTGCAAAATTAAAATTTTAATGACTCCTTGGTGTTGGCAGAGCTCATGCATGACCTTGACTGGCACCTGGACTTGGATACTGAGAGGCAGGTGGAAGCGCATGTGCCTTGGGGGATGCTCTGGGGGCCGGGTCTAGGCTCCAAGAATGTGAGAAGATAGGTCATGCGAGCAGGCAGCCACGTCTGAGAAAGACAGCAAAAGAGCTTATCGGGAGAAGTGTCCTGGTGTGTGTGAGGGTTTGGCCATCTGGGGCTGGACACGGTGTCCCAAGAACAGCAGATACAGAGTGTATCAATATGCCCTTGTTACTGCTTGAGACTGTCTAGACAGATTAAGTCAATATGTTATTGTTTCAGCTGGTTAATGTGGAGAATAGAAAGAGCACATTGCACAATAAAGACTCACTGCATGCTGGACACAGCAGTCGTCCCTCTGGTTGGTCCTTCACAGGCATATCCCAGGCCCCAGACCCACTAGAGGTCCACACTTAGGAAGTCTTTGGCTTTGTGATTATGATAAAGTATCATGGGTGGAGGATGACTTTCTCTAGGATCCAATTACCTAACAGGCTAACTAGCCATCTTTTTTTCACAGCTAGTTAGCAGTCCAACTCTTCAGCAGTGTTCTCTTGAGATCATCTGCTCACTGCCACACTCTGAACAATAACTCAATGCATGAGGAAGGCACTCTGGCCCACATTTAGCCTTGAGAGAGCAATGGCCTTCTTGGAGGTTTTCCTAGGGATTCTCCAAAGCCTCCAAGTCCTCTGTCTGGACCATACACCACTGTGGTAGGAACTGAAGACAACTCTGCTCAGACTCTTCTCTACAGAAAATGCCCCCGTGATTTCTCTCCACCGTCTGTGGACCACTGCCTTCCAACAAGAAAGGGTGGCCCTGGCTTGCAGTGGCCTTCACTCACCATGGGAAACGACATGCTATTACAAGGCAAGGAATTTTAGTGGGAGCCCAAGGAAGACCCTTGAGGTCCACAATTCTGGAGAATACAGATGCCAGACCGGGGACTCACTCCTAAGTAAACCCATGCATTTGTTCTTTTCTACAGGTGAGAAAGAAGTTTAAAAAGAAACCGTGGAATTGTAAATCATACCAGGATTGTAGTTGAACTGTAAATTACCCAGAACCTACCTTCTATTTATTGAATCAAAATTTGTAGAAATAGGACCCAGGGTTTTTTAATTATTCAAACTGCTCAGGGAAAAGACAATTTCAGAGGCAATTAATGTGATTAGAAACTAATTAATGTGATTCGTTTCTATTGATATTGTTAAGCCTATAACATTTACTTGAAGCCTTAGAATAATAAGAAGCATAGGAACTTTTTCATATTGATAGATTGATGAGAGAGAGATTTCCTTTTTTATCCCAAAGCTACCTGATTTGAATTTGAAGCATTTTTTCCTAGTTATAATGATCCTATTATGGTGAATAAAGAAGCAGAATAATAGCAGGGTACAAATTAAATGCTTACACTTTTTGACCTGATTATTCCCCTACTCAGAATTTACCTGCTGAAACAATCATAGATATGCACTTCCAGAATGAAGAAGCTTAAATGGGCAAGAAAATAAAATACATTAAATAAATTGATCACTACAATTGAAGCAAATTTTGTGACCATCAAAAACTGATTCAGAAAATATAGTGATGACAGAGAAAATTGTGCATAGCATAACAACTGAGAAGCAAGTCATCAACTACATAAATAACATTTATATTGCAGAAAAATAAATAAATAAAAATGAATTCTCATATGGAAAAGAACAAGAAAATTGTCAAAACCTGGGTGGTGGGATGATAGGGGATTTGTACTTACATGTGTGCTTCCCAGACTTTCTCACTAAACTAGTGTTTATTTTAAAATCAGAAAAAAAAAAGGAAACAATACTTGTTTTAAGAATCCTTTTTCTGGGTCCCCATTCTGATAAAATCTATTTGGAATAACACTGAAAAGAAAGGTCAACCCATGGAAAGAAGCAAACCCCTGGATTGTGTCTCCCACAGCTAAACTGATCCTGCAGGCGCCATCCACTGTGTTTGAAATCGACTCGGTGGTGCTGAAATGCCAAAGAAAGACGGAAATCCCCCTGAGAACTGTGCAACTGTACAAGAATGAGAAATTTCTGGCAGACCTTGGCCAAACCTCCGACTTCCACATTGAGCAAGCAAGTCTGAAGGACAACGGTGTATACAAATGCTTCACAATTAAGGCAGAGTGTTGCTCAGTTTCTTCAAACACAGCCAAAATTGAAGTCCAAGGTAAAGTCTCCACTATTGGCTAGAATCCAAAGGAGAGCCACTGAGGCCTTAGAGAAAGAACAAGGAGGACTAGAATACTGTTGAACCTCAGGTTACATTCTTGCAAGGACAGAGAAAGGGCAGCAGTGTTTTTGGACAGAAGGATGTTAGGAAGCAAAAGAAAGGGATGCTAATATCCCTGTGTGTTTGTTCTGCTTGCTATATGAAGGTTGAATTCATTTTCTGTAGAGCAGGTCCAAGCCTCACCTCTCTGGGACTGTTGTGATTCTTCTCTCCAGAGCTGTTTCTGAGACCTGTGCTGAGAACCAGCCACTCCTCGCCCACTGAGGGGAGCCTAGTCACCTTGACCTGTGACACCCAGCTCGCTCCACAGAAGTCAGATGTTCAGCTCCAGTTCCGATTCTTCAGTGAAACCCAAATCCTGAGGACAAGCTGAGAAAGCTCCCCAGAATTAAAAATCACCTTGTTGAAGAAAGACTCGGGGTATTACTTCTGCCAGGCACAGACAGTGACTTCCCATTTCTTGAAAGAGAGCAAGAAATCCTTCATATCTGTGAAGAGTGAGTTCCAGAGGGGTCTGAGTACTGGGCCTGGGCAGGGCAGGGTCTGCTCATGGCTTGGGCCACTGGTCCATGTAGAAATGAGAGCTGTTGAAGAGAAGAACCCCCAATTCTCTTAGAAGAAGAGAAGAATCCCCAAGATCTTAGAAGAGCTTAGAAGAGAAAGGTCCAAGAAAAGAGAGAAGTTTATTTTTTCTTTCAATGCCATAAGACCAAACTCATTTTTTGTCCTCAAGGTTCTTTCCTGACACCATCCCTGCCACTCCACCCATGAGGCCCACAAGCTGTGGGCTGGCAGGGCCTCAGACTGGGCCAAACAGACTATTCAGCCACGTCCCTAGAGTGCTAGATGTCTGGGAGCACTTAAGGACAAGGAAACCACAGGGCAGATGTTTGGGGAATAAATTGCTCCAACTTGACATCACTAAGAGTGGTAGTATACCCACTCTTACTTTTGCCTAGTGTCCAAAATCATGTAGGTTCTCAAGCATGACCTCAAGGTTAAGTGTGACCTGTCTCCCAGGAAACATACATGCACAACAAGAGAGGACAGGGCCTGCGTGTGTTCCCTCTTGAGTGAGGCAGAGTGAAGGTTGTAGTGTTGCCCATAAATTCACTCCCATTCACAGGCAAAAAAAAGAAAAGGTTCTATGGCAGTTTCTTTCAAAGTGCCTATATTCTATTAGGTTTTATTAATTTTCTGTTTTTCAGTCACAGGTGGCAAATGTTTTAAGACACGGGTTTAAGGAGACACACTCAAAGAAGAAAGAACATTATCCAACACTTAAAAAGTGATCATTTCTAACATAGGATCATAGCAACATAGTTGATGGAACTGCAAGCTCAAGCTTACCCCCCTTCTGTTTTGGCATTTTCCCCTCAGTTTTTAAAAGATGTATTTATTTATGCCTACAGAACTGGGGTACAGGCCAGAGGTGTGGTGGGTGAGAGGATTCATCAGAGACAGAGTAGGGAACAGAACAGGCAGATGGATTGAAACACACTGCTGAGAGCAGCAGGCAAGACAATAGAGGTCTGCCTTGCCATGTGGGTCAGCTCCCTGGCTGGGAATCAAACTCATGGCTTCCAAGAACTTCATAGTGCAGAGCTTTGACCCGTTGAGCCACCAGGGAGAGCCCCTCCCTCATTTTTTAAGATCCCAGGATGATACAAATATCATCCTGAAGCCATCATCACTATGTAAAACCACACCTGCCTGCAGTATAGAACACTTTCAGCCCAGGTTCTTCCATTTGCAGGCACTGGGCCAGGTCCGCCTCTGACCATATAGCTCCCAGGCCAGAGGGCTAAGGCATGCTGGTTCCAATGCAAGATTCCTGCGCACTATTGGCTCCCAGCCAACCACTGTGGTTACCCACCTGTGCAGCCCCTCAACACTGGGTCTGTTTCTGTTACCACCCCTAGCAGGCCCCAGATAGGGCTAATATTGGGCCCTGGGTATGCTCTCCAGAGTCATGTCCTGTCAGGGGAGGTGAGGCAGAAGGGAGGTCGGGAGGGTCGCCTCTGTCCTTGTGCTCACTGCTCCACAGGATCTTTAGTCATGTGGAAACACCTCCTCCGAGAGTCCCATATATGTCATTTCCATTCACTTAGGAGCTATTACCAAGGTCTACATTGACACCCAACCAGACTTGAAGTCAATATTTGAAGGGCAGGAGCTGGTCCTCTGCTGCTCAGTAAATGGAGTCCCAGGGACCATCAGCAGCATCAACTGGTACAAAAGCAAAGAAAGTGAGGAAAGGAAGATGAAGATTTCCTCAGAAAGAGATTTCAAGATCTCTGTGGTGAGAAGTAGCGATGCCGGAAATTATTCCTGTGTAGCCAGCAATGGGCTCCTCTCCTTCTACAGCAAGCCTGTGACTGTCACTGTGAAAGGTACTTTTCTAGGTTCCATGTGAGAAACGGGTTGTCACACTCAGTGAGAAGACATGGTGTGGGTGGAAGCCTGTGGGTTACAGTATTTAATGGCCATTTAATATACTGTGCAGCCTCTAGGAGTCAGTCACAGAGCAGCAGAAGGGGGAGTCTGGGTATAAGAGCCTGTGGGCACCAGAGAACAATGTTCAGTGTGGGCATTACAGCCCCTCCTAGTTCCAAATTCTTTCTTAGTTTAAGTGAAGGGGAGCATGGTGGGAAACTAGAACTGATAGGCTGTTAGACCTGTCTCTCCTGAGCCTCCCTGGTCACGTCACTGTCCCCATCATTCCCAGTGACATACACTCTTTCCTCAGCCTCAGGGTCCTTAGGGTACAGGATGTTGCAAAGAATGTGGTCGAGTTGTCTGTAGAGCCCAGACCCTGTCTCCCAACCTACCATCTTTATCATGAGGCTGAAACCCTGAGGACCCTGTAGAGGAGGAGCAGCCCTCAGCCTCTCTGCCTGCAGAACATTCTGGGAGTAACTCCTGTGCCTGGACAGAGTGGCCACTCTCTAGCCAGGATCCTATTCCCCTAAAGGCTCAAGACTCCAGGCTGGGAATTCATGGGCTTCTGGCCCACGTGACATGTAGGCCATTCTGAGCTCCTTCCTGTGACCACCCTTCTCAGAAACGCAGGAATGCCTTGGAGCCAATCGACAAGAAAACACAGAACCTAACCAAAACGCTCCTGTGCTAGCTGTGAAGATGTTTCAGAGTTCAATTCTGTTGGACCAGCAATCTCTGGCCAAAGACAAACTACTGACTTTGACATTACTTGCCTGGAGGACACTCCGTCCTTGTGTCATTGAGCCATTCTAGTTCCAGTCCTTCTCTGACTGCTACCCACTGAATCTGTTCTCTTAGCTGCTTTCCCTTCTCCGGGTCATCAGCATGAGTCTTCCCAGATGCCATAACCAAATACCACTAGCAAGGCTACGTGGCCTAAACAATGGAAACTGATTTTCTCACACTTTGGGAGTCTGGACATCCGAGACCAAGGTGTTGGCAACTTTGGTTTCCACTGAATTGTGTCCCCCCCACCCCCACCCCACTTGCGGGAGTGTGGCTCCACAGTGGATGCTGACTCAGCCTTTCCTGGGTGCTCTCAGGGAGTGGGCTTTCCTCTGTGTGGAAGGACTCAGTCCTAGTGGATCAGAGCCCCACATTCTCACGAAATTATCTCTCAAAGGTCTTTCCTCCAAATAAAATCTTACTGGCGGAAGGGCGTTAGAGCTTCAAAATACACACTTTGGGGTCACACAATTCAATCCAGGACACCATCCAAGTATTCCCATCCTGAAGATCTTTGAAAAAGTATCCAAGTGTCTTTCTCACGGACCTCAGCAACCAGCCAGAGGCTTCTGCACCCCTGAATATGTCTGCAGCATCTGCCTCATCCCTCTCCCCCTTTTCTCTCTCCCTCCTTCTGTCTCTCTCCTGGTCCCCAGCATCTGTAGAATTTAGTGCTTTGCTATTTCTTCTTTTGTCCTCTGAATCTTCAGGTGTTTGAGTCCCACTCAATTTCACAATCTCCCAAGTCACTTCTCTTTCCCAGGGATAAGGTGGTATCTGTTGTCTCTGTAGGTAATTATTACCAACATCCAATGTGCCCATCCATGTAGGACAGAGAGATAAGAAGCAAGTGGTAAATTACCCCAAACATGGTGCCAGGGAGAACCCAGACTTTATCAGCTCTTTCACCAGTATGTGAGGACTTCCTGCCCTCAAAATTGTTAAGGTAATTGTGGTAGTGAGGGGAGTGCAGCTTGGACAGAAGACTCTGTTGTCCTGTCCTCTCAGTAAACTCCAGACCTACTTTTAAGGAGACTGTGTGCTTAGGCATTAGACCAGGAATGAGGAAACAGGCCAGTCCTGGTTGACCCTGGATGACCACAGGGAGGTTTCCTAGCCTCATCCTCACTGAGTTTCTCATCCATAAGTAGAGAGGATCAGACCATGAGTAGAGAAACTTCAGGGACAGGAAGGGTCCTAAAAGAGTAAATAAACTGGGAAGGGAACGGATTGAGGGAAGAAACTTGAGGCTGACCACAGTGGAGGTAGAAAGGGAGAACAGGACTCACAAGAGAGCTCAGAATGAGTTGGAAGAGTGGGGACAGGCCTTCATAGATCATAGGGAAGGAAGGAACAGGTAAAGTGTGAATCTGGTGAAAACAACATAAGAGACTCCTTCCCTCAGAGTCGTTCCTCTGGAAGATGGGAGTGAGGCCACCTGACCAAGGGAAAGAAGAGGCCAGAGATTTGATAGGAAAGGAGAGGTCTGGAAAAGATCAGCATGGAAGTCAGAAGAAAGCCCCTGAGAAAGGCCCAGAAGGCTGCTGGGGCCTGAAGGCAGGGCAGCGAGACTGGGTGTTTCACTGACCACCAGCTGAGGCCTTAGCAAGTGACAGGAGCAGTTGCTGACTGATTCTTTCTGTCTCCCAGTCCCTGTGTCCCCTCCTGTGTTCAACCTCAGCACTCCCAGGACCCCGGCTCGGGAGGGAGACGTCGTGACTCTTCACTGTGAAGCACAGAGAGGTTCTCCCCCAATTCAGTATCAGTTTTTTCACAAAGGAGTGTATCTCCGGAGGCAACAGACAACTTCATACTTGAGGTTCGCTGTAACAGCCGAACACTCTGGGAGCTACTACTGCACAGCCAGCAATGGCCAGGAGGCCCGGCGCAGCAGGGCCATGAGCCTCTCCGTCATGGGTAAGCCTGAATTCACTCCGCCCTCACACCTTCTTGGCCACTGGCACGTCCTTGGGCCAAACCATGGTCTTCCACAGCACACTACGGCTGCTTCCTATGCTCACCCAGGCACTGCCACTCACCAGCTGAGAGGATTTCTCTCTCCTGGTCCCAAATTCAAATGCTTGTCTCTTCTTTCCACTTGTCTTATGTATCCCCAGCTTCCTGATTCACATTCATTAAATTGTTCTCAGTAGCTACAAAGTCTGATCCTAGGGGCACAGAGTTATGTCTCTTAATATCACATATTACTATAATATCAGATATATAAATTTCAATATATGTATTAGTGCCATTTAACGTCATATTTATCAACTCTATACAAAACCATGGAAAACCACAGAGTCGGGGAGCAGTACCGCAGTTACTCCAGACTGGCTAGAGCACTTTCAGAGTCTACAAAGCAACAGCGTGAGGGCGACACCGATGAGCAAGGGCAGTGTAGTGGAGCTGAGGCACCACCCGTGAGCCACATTGAGCACCTCTGCTTACTCGGCTTGAACAGCCCAGAGGTCATGAAGGCAGTTGTCAAACAGATGTGAAGTTTATACATTTTCTGTTGATTCTTGACTCAGTTTCGCATCTAAGCAATACAAGGAAACCAGGAAAGCTCATCAAAAAAGTGACAATGAAACTCAGAAAAACAAATAATAGACTTAGAAATAAAATAAATGACCAGGATATTGAAATTAAATCTTTGAGTAAGAAGATAGAACATATAATGTAGCGAAGAAATTCTCTTTAATAAATGGTATTGGGAAAACTGAATGACCACATGCAAAATTTTGAAAAGATCACTGCCTCGCCACATACAAAGTTCATTCAAAATGAATTAAAGACTTGGAAGTAAGACCTGAGTCCATAAAATACTTAAAGAAAACAGTTGCCATGCTAAGCACCTTGAAATTGGCCTGCGAAATGTGTTTGGAGACACAATCCAACAACAAGAGAAACAAAGGCAAGGATAAACCTAAGAACCACATGAAGTTTAAAAGCTTCTATTCAGTGCATCAAATGATAAAACATTCTGCTGTGAGGAAAGCTATTTGTACATCATGCATCTGACAAGGGTTAATATCTAAAACCTACAAAAATTCACAAGATTCAACAAGTATACAAGAAGCTCAATTAAGAAGTGGGCAGAGGATCAATAGACACATCTCCAAAGAAGGTATGCAGTTGATCTACA